CACACTGCTGACTTCTTCCGAGCAGATAACACAGCTGCTGTGCACACCCAGCACGTGGGCTTCAACCGGCAAGAGCAGGATGTGTTCCTCCTTCCCATCCTCGTTGTGGACAGTGGGCCACCCACACTGAGCAGCACGGGCACCCTCACCATCCGCATCTGCGGCTGTGACAGCTCCGGCACCATCCAGTCCTGCAACACCACGGCCTTCGTCGTGGCTGCCTCCCTCAGCCCCGGCGCGCTCATTGCTCTCTTGGTCTGCGTCCTCATTCTGGTCGGTGAGTCTGAGAGCATTCCACCATTGCTGGACTGGGTATCCTGCCCAGATAGACCACAGCCTGAGAAAGGAGCCTCGGTCTCCCCTACATAAAGATGGGCTGGCTAGAACCATCTCTGACCTCTGCCTCGGTGGGAAGTCTCTGAAGTGCAGATGGTGGCCTACTTGGGACAGAGTTCATGCAGTGCCCCTCACCCAGCTCAGGCCAGGGGCTCATTCCTGTAATCTCAGCACTTGGAAAGTTGAGGCAGGAGGATTGCCGTAAGTTAGAGGCTAGCCTGAGCTATGTAGTAAGTTCCAGACCAACCTGGACTACAGAATGACACCCCTTATCAATAAAAAAGAAACAGGGAGCTGAGATGTGGTCTAATTGGTAGAGTGCTTGCCCAGAATACATGAAGCCCTGGGTTCAATCCCTGGTACTGCATAAATCGAGGAGGAAGATGCAGGGCTGTGACCTCAACACCTCAGAAGTCAAGAGACAAGAGTATCAGAAGTTAGTCATCTTTGACTATAGAGGGAGTTTGAGACAAACCTATTGGACATGGAACCTTGCTTCAAAGAGGTCAGGAACCAAGCATATTTCTAAAATTCTCTTGTCTAGTGCCCTTCTTAGTTCTTCATAAAGAGAAGCATGGCTGCATGGCCAGATGTATCAACCCATTTCTCAGGTGAAGAAACTGAGGTTCACAGAGGTTATGTGCCTTGGCTAAGGTGACACAGGTTAGGTCTCCTTAGTCTGTGTCTCCACCTCTAACTCTGCCACCCGCCATGGAATAAAACTGGGGACAGCACCTTAGGGCACTTGGGATGTCTTTAGACATTGGAGACACTGGTACTGGAAGCCATTTCAACCCCAGTATTCCTGGGGAGAAGAGATGTGAGCAGCCACCCAAGTGCAGATGGTAGACAGAACAGCCAGAGCTAGGGGTTCTCTGCAGACCGTGCTCGCCAGCCCTGCCCGGCCCCCCAGATGACAACCCCCTTGTGCTGCCCACCCTCCAGTGACCTACTCTGCCCCTCCAGATCCCTGCAGAGGCGCTAGACAGACCCTGCCTAGTCAGGAGGGCAGCCCGCTCCCTCCCCACCACAGCCCACGGCTCAGAAACCCTTTTTCCAGAGGGTGCACTTTACAGCGGTTTCATTTTCCGAAGCAGTGCAAACAAATTTCTGCCTAATTGCCCACAAACGAAGAAAGTGCACATCAGTGCTCTAAAGGTGACGGGCGGAATCTCTGATCAGGTCTGGCACATCTGTCGCCGCCGCCCGCAAAATCCCCGCCATCTGCTCTCGTGGGCATCCCCTCCACAGCTCCGGGTCTCCAGCTCCAAACGTTGTCCATCCATCTTCTCCACTTCTCTCTTGACACCGTCCTTCCCTCCAGCCCTCCCTCAAGGCCTGTCTCCAGCCCCGGCTCCCTCCCCTGTAGTAAACTACCATGTTAGGTGGTGAGCTCAGTACCCTGTGCTGTGGCCCTCACAGCTGGCTCTGGCCACAGGCCTGGCTGCATCTGTCTGGAGCTGCAAAAGTCTAAAGCCTGCCACAGTGCTCAGCATGTATCTGTCCATCCATGTATCCATCCATCTATCCACTATCATTTATTTACAAATCCACCCAGTGAAACCCTCTCAGGTGCTGACTGTTTCCACAATACGGTTCATTACTGAGCAAGAGATTTTTGTTGTTGTTGTTGTTGTTTGGTTTTTGAGACAGAGTTTCTCCATGTAGCTTTGGAGCCTGTCCTGGATCTCACTCTGTAGACCAGGCTGGTTCCGAACTCACAGAGATCCACCTGGCTCTGACTCCTGAGTGCTGGGATTAAAGGCGTGTGCCATCACCGCCTGGCTAAGAGATTTTTTTTTTTTTTAATTCATTCTTGGAGCTGGAGAGATGGCTCAGCAGTTAAGAACACTGGCTGCTCTTCCAGAGGACCCTGGGTTCCATTCTCAGCACCCACATGGCAGCTCACAAAGCGTCTGTAACTGCAGGTGCAGGGGATCTGACCCCTCTATGTGTGATCGACCAGCACTAAACACATACTGCACAGACATACAGGCAAGCAAAGCACCCATACACAAAAAGTAAACCAAATTAAATTTTTTTTCTTTATTTCATACATGTATACAATGTATCTGGGTTGTATCCACCCACACACACCCCAGACCTCCCCCACATGTCCCCTCCCCGCCCTCAGGTCCTCTTTGTGTTTCCTCTATGATAACCCACTGAGTCCCGTGAGTGCCATGTGTGGCCATCCACTGGGACCTGGGCAGCCTGCTAGGGACCAGACCCCTGAAGAAAAATGACTCTTCCTCTCTCAGCTCCAGCCAGCTTTAGGGCTAAGGATAGGACCTTGCTGGCCCCTCCCCTGTCCTTGCTGGAATGTGGACTGGCTTGATCTTGTACACAGCTGCTGTGGATGTGACAGCCCAGTCCAGAAGACAGCTCCGCATCCCTCCTGCCCTCCAGCTCCTACATTCTCTCCTCCCCCTTTCCATCAGGTTCCCTGAGCCCTGGTGCAGGGACAGGGGTTAGTGGGAAAGAGATTATTTCTTCCAACTTTGGGTGTGCGAAGTTTGAGGTTCTCTTGGTCAGCCAAGAGTACTGGCAATTGGTTGAATCTGGATTTCAGGGGAGAGGTCCAGGCTGGGGCCAGAGATACTGGAGTTGTTAGAGGGAAGTCAAAGCCACGGGCCTGCAGGACAGTGCCAAGTGAGGGAGAGTTATGGAGGAACAGGTCCTGGGAAGACTGCTAGGGAGCTGGGGAAGCAGGGGGTGGGCGCTGTTTGGAGGAAGAGAAGAGGAATGTGAAGTCTTGGAGGCCAGATGAAGGAGGACAAGAAGCGTAGAGAATCAGTCATTCACTCCCTCTCACCGCCAGGTCTGTAGGCAACTCCTTGTTCATTCACTCATTCATTCATTCATTCATTCATTCATTCATTCATTCACTCAGCAAGCACACATCCAATTCTTTACCATACCAGGCACTAAGCCAGGGGGACGTTTTCAGGTCCCAGAGGATATTTATTGGGGTTAACTTGGCAGGACCTGGTCTGTGGTAGGCCATCCCTCTTTAGTTGAGATGAGGAAAGGGAAGACCTCAGAAGCAGATCTAGGACCCACTGAGGACCCGGCTGACAAGAATTCCCTGCAGCTGCTGCTTGTGGAACAGCCACACTGAGAACTAGGAGACAGAGGGATGAGACCTTCCCTCCACTGGGGGCTTGGAGCTGGGTCACTGGACCTGGCTAGAGCTCTTGGGGAGAGAACCCTGGGGGTCCTGACTGAGACACTGAATGGGAAGCAGAGAATTCTGGGGTGGACAGAGGCGGGCAAGGACAGAAGACAGGTGCCCTCAACCTTACAGCAGCGTCTAGAGCCAAGGATGGCTGGCCCTCGAATCGGGTGTAAATCCTTAGCACAGCTCTGCTGGGCAACCCCAGCCCCACTAGCCCTATAAATACAATTTGCATACCTCCTGAGACGAATAGCTCACCACCTACCTGGAGGGCCAGCTCAGTTCTCACCACAAGAAATGGGAAACCTAGGGAACTTTTAAGGACCACGAAGCTCTGCTGTCGCATTGGGGGATGGAGGGAGGCCAGGCAGTATGCTGAGCTCAGCCCTCACTCTGTCTCCCTGTTCCCTCCCGCCACCCCACCCCACCCCACCCCGCAGTGCTGGCTCTGCTAATCCTCACCCTCAGGCGTCACCACAAGAGCCACCTGAGCTCGGACGTGGATGAGGACATGCGGGACAACGTGATCAAATACAACGACGAGGGCGGCGGCGAGCAGGACACCGAGGCCTATGACATGTCAGCGCTGCGGAGCCTCTACGATTTCGGGGAGCTCAAGGGTGGCGACGCGGGCGGGGGAGCGGCCAGTCCCCCACAGGCTGCCTCCTCCTCCGAGCGCCACTCGCTGCCTCGGGGCCCGTCGAGCCCGGAGCCGGACTTCTCGGTGTTCAGGGACTTCATCAGCCGCAAGGTGGCGCTGGCGGACGCGGACCTGTCGGTGCCGCCCTACGACGCCTTCCAGACCTACGCGTTCGAGGGCGCGGGCTCGCCGGCTGCCTCGCTCAGCTCGCTGCACAGCGGCTCCACCGGCTCCGAGCAGGACTTCGCTTTTCTCCGCGCCTGGGGCCCGCGCTTCCGACCGCTGGCCGCGCTCTACGCCGGCCACCGTGGGGACGACGAGGCCCCGGCCTCCTAGCCCCAACCGGGCCAGTCCGGCAGCGCGGCCCGACGGGAGGGGACCTGCATGGCTCCCGCGCCGCGACACGCCCCCAAGGGGTGAAGCTTGCGAGGACTCAGGGGTGCGGGATGGTGACCAACGTCAGGAGAAGGGAGGGGAACCCGACCTGCGCAGCCCTGGGGTTGGAAGGGACCGCGGAGGGGGGAACCCCATGCTGGGAAAGGACCTGGGAAGAGAAAGCGGAGGAGGGCGCTGCTGCCGTGCCCACCCCAAGGCTTTCTGGCATTCAAGTAAAGATGAAGGAAGGGCTGGTCATTTACTAAGCACCTACTGTGTGCTGGGAGCTACCCAGAGACCGACTGCATTGTTGTAGAAACTATGAGGTGGCGTTCCAAAGGTGACAAGATAGGAAAGCCCCCCAGAGAAGTGGTTGTGACCTGCCCGGGGACACGCAGACAGCGAGTGGTGGAGCCTCCCGCACTGACCAGCTGCCTGGACAAGTCACCTCATTTCTCTGGGCCCCAGTTTCCTCATCTGTCAAATGAGGTTAATAACAGCACCTACCTCGAAGATTTGGAAAGGGTTCAGGTGTCAAGTCGTTGGGCAGTGCCTGGCACAGAGTAGGTGTTCAATAAATGCTCGCCTTTGTTACTAGCCTCATCCTTGTGCTTGCTGGAGGCCCGTGTGTCTGAGCTCACTCCCTCACCCTCTGGCTCCTCCCAACACCTCCGAGGGAAGAGGAATTGGTCCCAGCTGTCAGCCCCTGGTCCTCCTCTGAGGGAAAACAGATGTGCCTAGCAACTGCAGAATCTTCCTGCTCCTTGGGCTATATCAGCATGAGCCCCCTGGCAAGGATGCTAAAAACAAGATGAGCTTGGGCGGAGAGAAAAGGCTGTGCACAGCGGTGATGTTATCTGTCTGTTGTGGGAGCTGGGGTCTTTCCCTACAACTTAAGGTTCTCCTGGCCTTGGCACAGTGGCCCAGACCCGTAATCCCAGCAGCACTTGGGAGGGAAAAGCAAGAGGATCAGAAGTTCGAAGACACCCCCAGCTACTTCATGAGTTTGAGGCAGCCTGGGCTACATGAGACCCTGTTTATAAGATAATGGCTGTCTTCTGTCCTCCTTCCCAGCCCCTCTGGGGTGCCTCAGTGATTACCCATGGGCCTGGCATGGATTCCAGCTCCTGATAGCTGGCCACCCTTCATCCAGGCCATCTACTGCTGAAGCCTCAGTTTGCTCAGCTGTAAAGTGGGGGTTGTGGATGCCGAGCTCCGATCTCAGGGCCTCCCTGACATGTAAGGGGTATCCAGTAAATGTTCCTTGCTTACCTTGTCACCCTCCCAGGGAACTCCCCCTCCTTCTCTCCATGCCAAAAAGGTCCACAGCGGTGATCTAGAGGAAGCTGGTGTGCCCTGAATGCCACCACACACCCCACCCTAATTCAGAGACCAGGAAACAGGCTCACGAAAACAATGTGCCCAAAGCTACACAGATAGGTCGTTTTATTATTATTATTATTATTATCATCATCATCATCATCATCATTATTATTTTATTGGGGTGCATTAGTGTGTGTGTGTGTGTGTGTGTGTGTGTGTGTGTGTGTGTGTGTGTATGTATGTACCACCTCCCATATGGAAAGAAGACAACTTTCAGGAGTTGGTTCTCTCCTCCCATGGTGTGTTCCAGGACCCCGTTTGGGTGGCCAAGCCCTTTCACCCAGGAAGCCATCTCGCCGGCCCCAGTAAGGACTTCCTGCCTTCCTGTAGCTCAAGGCCTGGGAGACAAAGACAGAGGCCGCTTGCGATAACACCTTTGATGAAGCAGACTGAACAGCGAAGCCCCGGGAGTATGGGAGAGAGAGTGGATAATTCCTGGGGCCTGCTGGGTCTTGAAGCATGAGCGTGAGATGGATGAGGTGGCCAGGCAAGCGGGGGCCTCCCAAGAGGCACAACAGCATCTGCAAAGGCTGGGCTGGGTAGGTGGCGGTGCGGGACTGCTTCCGGCAAAGCAGGTGGTTCCCTGAGCTGGCTCACCAGGAGGAGGAGGAGGCTGAGTCAGGGAAGGCTGTGGAAAGATCTTGAAGGCTGGACTAAGGAACTTGTGGCTTTGCTCACCTTGAACCTTGGTGAAGGAGGCCCAGCCTGCAAGAGCTGGGATTCACACCAGGCCCATGTGCAACCATTGATTCACCTCGGGGCCTGGGAGGGAGTTCAGGAGGCCGCTGTTGTCTTATAATCATCGCTCTATAGACATTGATCCATCTTCGGAGGACCACTGTGGTGGCTGATGGCAGGAACATGGGTGGTGAGTGAAGCAGGGGACGTGGGAGTCACATTCTTGCTACCAGGGACCCTCAGCCCCCCCGAGTCCCGTAGTTAATACAGCAAATGAGCATTTGAGGACCCAGCTCTCCCAGAGCCCAGAGACAGCTCTGAGGCTGCTCATTGTCATGTCCCTTGCCAAGAGGAAAACTGAGACTAGGGGGGAACGAGGTGACTTTCAAGGTCACCCAGCTATTAACAGCTGGGGCAAGGCAGGGCTCACCCCAAGCCTGTTCTGTACACACACACACACACACACACACACACACACACACACACACACACACAGGGTTGCCTTGACTGATTCTGATCCCCCCAAACAGGGAGATGACCTATTCAGAAGGATACAATGTCACGGGCCCAAACTCTGCACATGACCTGGGAAGGTCACAAAGTCAAAAGGCTGCTTTGTCTGCTGTGTGACTTTGAACAACCCGTTCATGCTCTCTGTACCTCCATTCTCTTACCCATCAGAGCAAGCACACAAGTTGTTCGAACAGCAACTCCACGAGGTGATGGTGAGGTCAGAATGCCATCTTAATATCCAGCGTTGAACACTTCCCCAGAGTTAGCTCGTAAGCAATGGGTAACCTCGGTTTATAGACAAGGAAACCAAGACGCAAAGAGAAGATGACTCGGTCCAAGTCGAACAGATTGAAAGAAGTGGAGACGGTGACGTTTAACGATGGGTACTCTGGTGTGATGCCACCCGGTCCGCAGCCCTGGGGCAAGGCACACTGTCAGCCCTCAGCATGTGCTGGCCTCTCTGAATGTCACCACCCACGTACCAGTGCCAACCTACCCAGTCTGTGGTCCTCAAGCCTCTGCTGGCTCTGGGGTGGGGCTACAAGGAAAGGCTCCCCCCTGCCCCAGATCCCTTTTTCCATCTGCAGCGTGGTTCTGGCCTCCCCGAGACAGTAAGGCACCCATGTGTTCGGTCCCTTCCCGGGTTCTAACCAGTGCCCACTCACGCCCTCTGGGCGTCTCTGATGAGCTGGGGTGACTCTAAAAGATCTCATGGGGTACATAGCCTTCAATGGTTGGTCTCACAAGGCCCCCAGGAGTCCCAAACTGTCTGCCTGTTTTAGGCAGAGAATAGTGCCACCAAGCAAGTGCCAGGCACCAAAAAGGCACAGCCAGCTCTGCCTGTGAGCTCAGAGATGAAGGTCTTTTGTCCGTAATGTCTGCCCTCTGCACAAGGTCACTAGGAAAATGAAAGACAAACGAAATCCCCTCGTGTTGCCATCCACCTTGTCACCAACGTCGTCGTGAGAGAAGACGGGCGGTCTCCAATGAAAAATCAGGCCATGGCGACGGCAGCACACTTATGTAGCACTTGCTGCATGCCTGACTAATTAAGCAACACCATATGATAAATATGAATCCATATGAGACTAATTCTGTTCCATGTCTAGCTCTTCACATACCTGTGGCCTGTTCCATTTTCAAGTGTGGTTCTTTTGAGTGCCTGTTTTACAAAGCTGATACAAGGAACCCCAAGTTCACAGACGCAGAGGCCTTTGCTCAAGTGCACAAAGCCCGGGCAGCACATGTAGTTCAGTCAATAGGGTGTTCACCTGGCATGCACCAAGTTCTAAGTTCTATCCCCAATACCGCATGAACCAGATGTGGGGGCACAGGCCTGTAAATCCAGCACTCAGGAGGTAGAGGCAGGGGGATCAGAAGTTCAAGGTCATTCTTGGCTACACAGTAAGTTCAAGACCAGACTGTGCTACATGGGAACTTATCTCAAAAGAACAAAAAAAAAAAAAGGAAGGAAGGAAGGAGACAGTGTGGGCCTGGGACTGTTACAAACACCCACCCACGCTCACCCAGCCATAGCTCTGCACAGGAACCAGACAACGTGGGACACAGAGAGGACAGAGAAGCAGCCGAGGACAGGAGACGACACTCCAGAAAGAGGATGGGTCTGGGAACAAGATGGAGGCCGTATAGGCTGGTCCACCACCATCCACCACTGGTCTGAATCTCTGGTCTATACCAATGTATCCTCACGTGGCCGTGGACACAAAGCAGAGAGAGAGGAAGGCAGCCTGAGCGGCACGGGTCAAGATCCAATGCCTGCCTCCCTGACTCAGGCAGCTCAAAGAGCCGGCTGCTGTCACAGGGGGCGGCTGGGCACCCGCATCCGTCAGCCAGCCGTCATCACCGCCCACCCCCGGGTCACGAATCAGCAGCTCCACTTACCTCCTGCCAGCCAGCGCGCTCCAGCCAGCTCTGTCACTGGCCTCCGAGCATTTTGCAAATGTGGCCCTGTCAGCCCTGGGTTGAAGTGGGAGTTCACGCTCCAGTGGTTGCAGGAGAATGCCAGCACAGGATGCACTCACACCGCGCACCCTAAGACATGTTTCTGCCTGTGTCTGCCATGCAGAGATGCATGTGCACCACTGAGCACACAGAGGATATCCTGTCAGTCTGCAAATGCAATCACAGGCCAGCATGTTATGTATGCAATGGAAGCAAGCATTCATGTGCATCTGTGTTTGCATACAAGGCATGCAATGTATCCACAAACATTCTCATGCACGTGTGCATGTATGTGTCGCTAGTTCTCTTCAGTGTGTGAATATATTTTCCCGTTCAGGCCACACCTATGTATGAGTCACCTCCATAAGCTCCCACTCAAAGGCATTGTGTATGTTGTCACGTGAATGGAAAGCTCCATGTGACACTCAGAATATATGTGTCCACTTGTCTGTGTGCACAAGAAAGCATGTACAGGTTTGGGAAGTCAGTTACAGGCTGCATAAGCCACCTCACAGGGTTAGTTGTTGTATTGATGTATGCAGTGAGCATCATGCATGTGTCATGCGTGCACCTGATCACATACATGTCCTCCGGGTACTCAGAAGGACACTAGGCACGGACACACCCAGTCCCACATACCATGAGTCTCTGCCACCCTGTTGCATGTCCCTCACTTTCAGACACCTCATCCTCACATACGCAAGCTCCTCTGCCCACGTGCACTTTCAGAGGTGGCCACAGTTCATCCATAGCTAAGACCCTCAGCTCCTGCTCCCAGGCGAGTGTGCCGGGGGCAGACATGTGCCTCCGTGGCCCGCATGCCTCACACCACAGAGGCAGATCTGTGGCACACGGGTGCTCCCAGCCCCCACCCCACCCCCGAGCATAGCCTGCCCCAGGCCCAGATTGTCAGGTGTGCCTGGGACAGCAGGAATGGCGCCCACACACAAGAATCACCATTCACGCAGAACTGCATCTGCCGCGGCCGCCTCATCCGCTGTGCAAATGATGATTAAATGTTATTGTGTGAGAGAAAGCAGCAAGGAGGGACTCATTAGCTTCATTGTCAGGAAGGGCTCCACAGGCCCACCAGCTCCTCACTCTAGGGCTGGCTTAACCCGATGTGTGCTGGGGGTGCCTGGGTCTCACTTGGGATAGATGACAGAGACCGAGATCCCAGCTCTGGACCCCCATGGACTACAGAGAGCACTATAGAAGGAGTCCTGAGGCTCAAGAAGCAACTCTCACCTTGTCCTTATTTGCTGTATGGCTCTACACCAATCCACTCATCAGTAACTCCTCACCCCTCCCATGACCCCAGGAACACAGAGGTTCAGTTGCCATGGGCCTTCTGGGAACTTCCCAGATGCATCCCAGATGGGGAAAGGTTCAAAGTCTGTGGGCTAGTGGGTGCTTGTTTGGGAGGCAAATGTCTGCACCGGCTGCTGAGGTCTGGTCAGGAGCCTTTTACAAAGGATGGGGTGGGGGTGGGGCATTGAAAGGCGTGTGCATGGATGCATGCATGCCTGTGTGTTGACAACGGCAGGCACCAGTGAGCCCTGGCAAACACAAACGGCTTGTCTAGGCTTGGTATCTACACATAGTACTTGGGACAGTCTCAGGCAGAAACATTTGCTCCTCGTTTCTCTGAGACTCACATTACATTGGAGCCTCATGTTCCCCTCTGTGAAACCTACGGATTGTACACAAATGTGCACTTCTAGAAAGATCACTGCTACTGTGTCCAGGGAAAATTAGAAGGAGGTGTGTGCAGGGAGGATGAGAGGACCTAACAGCCTTGCCCTCTTCCTTAATCAGAAAAATCCTTAATTTTTAGCCAGCCACATGAAATCTATTAACCAAGATCATTGCTCCCCAGCCTCCATCACAGCCGTATTTCCCACAGGCAGAGTCACAACCAATACAATCTATGCAAAATTGGCAGGTGGCGATTTCTGACCATTGTCCACAGACTGCTGACCCACGCTTTTTGCCTCTTTTTGTCTGCTCCTCCCTCCTTTCTGCCGGCTGAGCACACAGCTCCAGCAGCCACTTTGGTTCACCAGGACAAAGAGCACATGCTGTGATAGCCAGATTGAAGGAGACTTGGTTCTTCCGAACTTCAGACCAGCCTTCCCATCTCCAGACGTGGTTAACACGAGAGAGAAACCAACCTCCAACTTGCTGAAGTCACTGTTGTTTTGGTACTCTGTCCCAAACAGCCACGGGAGGCTGACACAATGATCTCAGAGCCACGTGTTGAGGCTTAGATGAAGTCAGCAGCAGTGAGTCTGAGAAACATTTGGAAGACCCAGAGGAATCTGCAGTTGATTGGATGTGGGGATCGCCAGAAGAGGAGGTCAAAGGCTGAGTGACAAGGGCGGGAACCCAGGACAAGCTCCCACGTGGGTCAGACAAAGTCAGCTTAGTTTGCTTGAGCTAAGTTTGAGGGGCTGCTGGCCAAGAACACAGGACTTGAAAGTTGAGTGCTGGAGCTCAGCAGAGGGACCGGAAAAGGCAAACGCCGCCCACGGTGTCCCACCAGCACTGCCCGCCCACGGTGTCCCACCAGCACTGCCTGTGAGAGAAGGGAGAGTGGAGGGCGAGATCACAGGCTCCGTGCTTGCAGGGACTCCAGGGTCGGGTGGAGGGAGAAGGGATATTTGGACATCAGCTTCTCTTTGCTGGCATAGCGAGTGAAAAACCATGGCAGGATGCAGAGGAGGAGGCTTGGTGTGTGGGGAAGGGTGGCGTGTGGGGAAGGGTGGGTGACACAGATCTCCTCTTTCAGAGTCTGAAACCCCAGGACTCCTCATTCCAGGTGAGACTCTCAGAGGCACTGGCTGCTTGCAGGAGAGCATTCTGGGGGAGGAGGAAAGAGAGGCAGGAAGACATGCTTGCCTTGGAAGAGAAGTCAGGCTTTGCCTGGAGCCCTGGGAGAAAGTTAGCCTGGGTATTGTAGAGCCCAGAGAGGGATGGCCCCGCCATCTGGAAGTCTCCAGGAGGAAGCAGAGGCACCAAAGCCTCCAGTCAGGGAGTTGGGAACCACATCTAGGTGCGGCGGCCACCATGGCACAGATCCCTGTGGAATGGGTCTTCCAGGTGAGAAGTGAGCTGAGGGCAAGGCACACTTCTTGGCCCCTGGACACTTTCGCTAGGCTGGCCTAACAAAGCCAGTGCCTGCAAAAAAGGAAGTCCTCATGCCCCTGTCCTGGAGGTTTAGTGGCCTGGAATCCAGGACTATGAGAGGAGCTGGCCCAGGCTTCAGGGCTAGCTTGCTGACAGCCTCTTCCTGGGCCTCTTCCTTCACATTCCTGGACACACCTGAAACACATACGCTAACCACACACATATACATCATATACCACACACACACACACACACACCACATTACACACGTATGTACCATATACCACACATACACACACCCCACATATATATACCACACATATATACATCACACACACATCACGTCACACACATATACACCACACACCACATACATACCACATTCACATACCACATAGACCACACACACATAGACCACACACACACAAACACAAACATATCACATGCACATACACCACACATACCACATACACCACATAACACACACACCATACACATACACACCATATAGCACCACACACACACACCACATTATATATATATATATATATACATATACGCCATACACATACCACATATATACACACTACACAAACACATACACACAGCATGCACACACATGCACACAAACATCACACAGACACACTCATAGTGGATAGTTCACTAATAGCTATTAGTGAACACACATACACATACCACACACCTCACACACGTGCACACACCACATATATCACATTCCTGTTCCAAGGAGTTACATGTCCCCTTCCTGACTCTGTAGGCACCTGTGCACACATATGCACATGTACATGCACATCCGCAAATACATTACTAAAATAAATATTTTAAAGAATTTTGAATGGCTGGGGATGTAGTTCAGTAGGTGGGTGCTTGTCTAGCATGCATAAAGCCCTGGGCTTGATCCCCAGCACCCACAAGCCAAACATGGCATGCATGTCTGAACCTAAGACATGTGTACTCATTCATGCACACGCACAGGTGTCCTGAGAGTGTATACACACACAATCATGCACCACACTCACAGGCAATGACACAGAGAACGCAGGAAGCCAGTGCACACAGAGACAGGGAAGGATGCCCATGTCAGATCACGTATAGCTGCAGAGACCGCACCCACCCCCAGCCTTATGGAGAGACAGAGGGCTAGTGGGAATGTGTACATACCATCCCACAGGACCTCCAGCACTTGTAAACTCCCAGGTGCACAGTGACATCCTGAGACAGACAGTACACCCACACAGCATCTGCCTGGTCCTTCCCAAGGTGTCTATCCTGAGGTGTCTTAGCTTTATGGACCCCAGAACTCAGTGGTGAGAAAGAGGAGGAAAAGACCGCAGGACGCCAGAGCACAGGTCACATTAGTGCACAGAACCCTGAGGCCCCACTGTGGGTCGCCACCTGAACCAATGTTCCCTCCTGCAGAGCTGGAGGTAGCCCCGCCTCCTGGCCAGCCTGCTGATTTCCCAGGAGAGAGGGCTGTGGCCCACCTGTCAGTCCTGCTGTTTGTCACCATCACCGCGCACTGACATTCAGAGCAGGCGCCGAGATGATCGCATTTAGCTGTAATGTGCCACAGACTGCACTGACATTTGGAAACTATTCCACCTCGGGACCCATTCGACTTCTAGCTTTTTTTCTGGAAGGGAACAGAGGCAGTGGAAGGGGGGGTGGGGCAACCGGGGCCTACAACGTCTGTCTGTCACGTCCCCAGACTACAGGACCTGAGAACCCCAGAGACCCCCCACTCTCGAGACCCAGGAGCTCTGACCAGCCTGTCTACATTCACCTAAGAGGAGCAGGAATGAGGGGGACTCAAGGTGGAGATGCAGACTCAGGAAAAGGGTTTTTCCTCAGGGGGAGCTAAAGGAGTCCCTGGCCTGTCACGAGTCACGTTTGTCCATTGATGGACTCGGATCTGAGAGATCAAGCAAGTTGTTCAAGGGTTTTGAGACCAACTCCACCTGGCTTTAGAATCTCTGAACATTCCCTGTTGGGTTGGGGAGGGGGTAGATGCTGAGCACTCATGGGACCGTGCTCAGCCTTTTGTCCTCCCCCACCCCCACCCCAAACCCCCACCCACACACCCACCCTTTCTCTAGGTGGGACCAGGACTCCCAGGAAAATGCAGAGCCCACCCACCCACCCACCCTTTCCC